ACAATTTTTAAAAAGCAATTTCATTTTTGCTTGAATATGTTCATTGTAAACTGTATTAATTCAATTTTTTTGGATATTTCAGAAGAGACTGACTAAACTTTCTTTAAAAATTCTATGTATATCATTTTTTCCCTTTACTATGTTGACTATTTTTTTCCTCAGGATATGAAAGCTAATAATAACATATGTGACATTATAAAAATACCATTTAAATTCTAGCCAATTTTGCACATCACCATCATTCTTCTCTCCAAGGCTTTAGTGGAAAGGAGTATTTGCAATTCTTATTTGTAAATGACAGTACTTTCTCCTTTTACTTTGTTTTAAATAGTGGACAGCATTAGGGAAAATTACCAGCCTTGTTAAAAATGTATCTGATAACCACTTTTAAAAAATAAAGAAATAAAGCTATTGCTAAAATTTTGCATATGATTTTCAATTGATACTTCAAAATGATGTGATTTAAATTCCAGAATCTCCATTTTAAAAATTTTAATGCCTTTCATTAATACATCACAAGCATGACTTTAGCTTAATGATCAGATAAATAAGCTATGTGATTGACTTTAGACATAGAACTGGTTTACACTGAAGCTATGAAGCTATGATGGGAGAACCCCAGTGGCTTTTCCTTTCTTTCTTGGATCAGTTTTATTTTTATTTTTATGTAGTATAATTGGAACAAACGCAATTGATATTTTATAGTCCCATAAAGGAATCAGGTTTCACATATTCGTGAAAAAGAACCAAAGTTATTGCAAAGGAAACTGTGGAATACTCCATTAAGAAATAAACCCAAATGAGGTAATTCTTGTCAATATACCTGAAATGTATTTATTATTTGCAACAAAGATATTCATTTGTTCATAGAGTCTCTTCACTGGGTAACTGACTAAAGCATAAAACATCAAATGTAGCATTTTTAATGTAGGTTTGCATAGTCTTTGAAAATCTGATGGAGCTCTTGATAGCCTTCCCAGAAATGTGCAAATACACACACACACACACACACACACACACACACACACACACACACACACTATGTAAAAATATGTAAATGCATACATAAATTATGCATACATAATTTAAAATATAATTTCAGAAGTTTCAGAAACCTTTTAAAATCCATTCATAAAGAATTTAAGAATTTTTTTTCCTAATCCTTGAGGCTAATTAATTATGGATCAAGGTTCTACTCCCAATCAAACTGTACTGAATGTCTTTAAGAGATAACTTTTCATCAAAACAGTGTTTTATTGGCTTTATAATATTTATTTTTCAGCAACCCTACATGGAAATCCTTCTTTTTTTAGAAGCAACAATTAACAAGTTGACTATTGTTTGTAAAATGTGTCCATTAACCTTTTTAGTTCTCCCTTACAAGTTTTTCTCTTTTGAAACTCTTTTCCATATCATTCCAAACCTGAAACCTGCCACCCTAGATTCGGACACCACACTTTATACCTGGTAACAATAAATAAATCTGTATTTGTGGTTTCTGTGTTTATCTTAAGCAATAGTTAATAAGCATAATTTATACTGAAGAGGACTTATATGTCTACATACATAAGAACTTCATAATTACTGAGTTGATGTCATTAAAAATTTAACCACTTGGTTAAGAAATATTCAACATAGGTTTTTGGAAAAATAACATTTTGGAAAACAATAGCATATATATATGTACATGTTCTCTGATGTTATATACACATGCCCAAGAATACAATATATGTATATATAACCCAACTTATAAACACATATACAGAAATACATACATACACACATTTTAAAAATATAAACAGATATATAAAATCTGTGGTGTATGAATGGTTTAGAAAATGATATTAGAAACATATCTCCTACACTATGCTCAGAGGAGTCAGCCATTTTTTTTATTGTTTGGAAAAACTCCTCTTGTTCTCTTTAAGTATGCCCATATCAGAGACATTTTGTTTCTGATATAATAACATCTCAAACCAATTTATATTAGTTCTGAAGTCAGGTGGCTAGCATATGAATTCCTGCATAAAGTAGTGTTTAGGAGCATTGATGATCTGGGATGCCAAACCCCTGTGTACTTTTGATGATATGTTATTATTATAAGTAGAATGCTAGACTCTCCTTGGTTCTACAGTTACTTATTCTACAAATAAAATAGTTTTCTTTTTCCTGTTATCTGGGACTTGGTCGTTTTCTTCATAAACATATGATTAATGGCGATTTAATGAACATCTACATTTATCAATATCTTAAGAAAAAACATTACCAACAAAACTTAGAGATTTTAGTGCCCAGCTTTAAAAGCTTTCATGTAACAACTCTCTACCGATTAAGACAGGAACAACTCAAACCAATGAAGACACTGAAGACAAAGTGATAGCAAAGCACTTTACAGTATTTAAAATGATATAGCTGCTTCTGGATTGCTTTCAGGGGAGTCCAGTAGAAAAGGTGTTACAAGATTGTTTCAAATAAATGAAACAGAATTTAGGAGAGAAATTGAGGAGTTACATGATATAAAGCAATAGGCTTTTTTTTTTCTCTAGTGGAGAGGATTCTCGCAGAGGATAATCTACTTTTTAACTTTTTCCTTTTGTGTGAAGTACAGCTCAGAAATGTAATGCTCAATTTCAGCATACTGTATACATCGAATTAATGAAATTCTTAAGATGACTTGGCCTTATTCTAAAAATAAATTTATAAAAAAAGTTATTGAAAAACAAGCACTTAGAAATCCAGAGACTTTGCACATAAAAGGAAAGCCAAATATCTGTGGTAGTTACTGTAGTCACCATTATAAATTGGTTGCATAGCAGCAAATAAAATGCAACCTTCAATAATTCTGAGATGAAAGTAGGCATTCTGCAAAAAATGTGACAATATGGAGCAGATGTTTAGTTCATTATAGGTGGATGTGTTAAGTAGGTGCTCTTAGAATTTCATTCTTTTACTTAATATTAAAACTGAAAATTATGCTTATAGTGAAAAGAATATCTCTGTAGGATACTAGAATTTTCTCTCTTTTCACAAAGAATCTAGACTGCCATTACGTATTATCTACTCTAGGCTACAAATTGGGAAACATATCTGTTTAATCTCTCATAGATGAAATTCTTTGTTCTGATATTCCAACCATAAAATTGATCCATGGCCCAAGAATGATTTTCAAACTGTAGTGAAAAACATATACCTGAAAGAACAGCAATGGCAATGCCAATAACAAGAAAAAATAAAATGCTCTCACACAAAACAACCCTTTTCCCCCAAATACAAGACTACTTTTCAAGCTACTCTCATTACTAACCACTTTCTTTAAGAAATTTCCTAAAAGTCAGTTGTCTTGATAGTGGAGTGCTGCTTCCTGGATACTGTTCATGACCTGCTAAAGAATTTTACAAAATTATAGTTCAGTAGCTGGGCAGCATTGCAAGTCCAATGGTCTAACTGTTAAAAAAAAAAAAACAAAAACAAACAATATTCCAATGTTTCTCAAAGTCTTCAAGGTAAAATTGTTGAAAGGATTTTTAAAATATTTTTTCCTTCATCAGAATATGGCAAAATAAGATAATCAGATTTCCTATTTTAACGCTACTTGTCAACTTTCTTTACCTATCAGGAAAATAAAGAGCACCATTTCACTGCTGCCTGTGGGTATACATTATTTACACATTATTGTTGACCCTGTTTTTTTCAATTACCCAAAAAGAGCATTGTGTGGTATCTTACTGGTTCCTCTTGTTCTCAACATATACAGTACTATCAAAGTCCATACAGCGTGTCATCACATTTCACTGTTTACATGTCTACCTCCCTTTGCAGGAATGTAGACTGTTTAAAGACAGAATATATTTTATCTCTCTCCAAGTGATGTGTTTTTGTTCTTCCTGCAATTGCAGCAAATCTACCATGTTTTAAATTCAGAGTATTCTCATTTAAGTCCTATTTTGGACTTGCCTTTTATTTTAAAGGCAGTTAAGAAAGCAGTCCAAACTTGTTTCTCTGTGTTAAGCTAACATGGGTATTAAAAAAATAATACAACACTATGATTTTCACTAAACTAGGAAAGGTTATTTTGGAACAACTAGGACTTTAGATATTTGAAGTAGTAATTACTTCCTCCATAAATGTTACCTTTTAGAGTCAAATACTATTTTCCTGACACAGTTTAGCTTTTTTACTTAAAGGAAAATGTTTTTTATTCACAATTCACCATGCTATATTATTCCATGTGGAATTTCTCCTTTTCATTTGTTTTGAGAGTATTAAAAAGCCTATGAAGTATCATCATAATAATGACAGTAGCTGATATTCACTAAGTACTTATTTTGTGCCAAACAGTTCACTAGGTATTTTACATGTGTCATATCATTTAATACCCATGGAACACTTTTGATGTGAGTGATTTTATAATGTCTCTATCTCCATATCTCTATCTATCTATCTATCTATCTATCTATCTATCTATCTATCTATTTATCTCTATACATCCATCCACAATCTATCTCTATCATTTCTTTCTCTCTATAATCTAGGTATGTATGTTTGTATCTATCTATTAACTCATCTGTCTGTCTCACTGTCACCACCACCATCACCATCATCTATCATTTATCTTTCTATCATTGCAGTTTAGAGAGATAATTTTCCAACTGGTGAGTGATGTGGTCAGGATAATATTATAGTGAAAATCATCTCCTCATTTTGACTTCTTGGTTTTTTAAAGCTCTGAATATCCAGTAACAAAATTTAATTACCACATTTTGCATAATTCTGCATCCGTAATTTGTTTTTGTTTTTAGTGAAGTACTTGTATTATCATTTATAAGAAAAACAAACAGTATATAATTCTAGGGTTTTGTCTAATTAAATAAATTAAATATTATCATATTATTGCAGTTAAGAGTCCAAAAGTATATCTTCACTATTGAATGAATGAACTCTTGCCTGATGATCATCAACCTTCTATATGCTGAGACTGATTGCTATCATTTGCAACTCACCGTAGTCTTGGGTTTGGTTCCAGAATTGGCCACTGGGGTGAAAGGTGGTAGATCAGGAGACTCCGTGTTAGAAGACAAGTTTACTTGTTTCTGATTCACTGAAATGCTGTCTCCTCCACTTTCAGATCCTGATTCCAGATCCTATTAAAAACAAATGCATTGATATCAAGGATATGCGAATGCCACCTATATGCCCTTCTAGCACATTTCCACGTTTTCCTTCTCCCAACACATAACCTAATCAGAGTTGCTGAAAATTGACATTGAGGTGTCACCTATAATTGTGCATCATTTTGTAATAACAACTGTGTTCTTCAGTGCCAGTTACAAATATTTGAGGAAGAGGTACAAGATATAAAAGATACTGCTTTTTATAACCTAACAGTTTGGTGTGAATTGGAAGGGCCAGTGGCTAGCTAGACAATGCAGTAAAAGAGTAAAAGTTAGGAGGAGGAAGCCCTCAGACGTACCTTCCTCACTCTGTGATCTCCAGTGACTAGTTTGACACCCAAAGGCCACAAAGTGTTTCCCAAACTTCCTCACAGGGCCATTGTGGGTGTCAAGTAAGAAAAGAATTCTTATTTCTCCTCAACTCACTCTCTTTTATGTTCCCATTAGACCTCTGCTGGAAGCTGCAACCCCTAACGAGGCAAAATGGAGGTTACCTGAAAATGGGGAAAACGCTGACTGGGAGCAGAGGCCCAGTGGGAAGCGGCCATGATGGAGGCGGAGCCCCATGGATCCTATTGAAGGACCCCTTTTGGCCTTAAAGGAATGCGTGCTTAGGCTTGAAAAACACTTCCCTTGATAAACAAAACAATTAGCTAGAACATGCAAGGATGTGGAATTAGCAGTAAACCTATGTATAGAAACGTAAAAAGGGCTCAACAGCAAAAATTTCCCAAATTTCCCCCCCCCCCGAAGGGACAAGGGAATGCAAATTTTGCAACCTTTAGCTAAAAAGGAAAAACAAGTACTTCCTCATATCCTTTATAAGTAACAACATTGACAGTTGTGATTGATGAGGAAGTGAGAAACTGAGACAGAGTATCTCCCAAAACAGGTGTTTTCGGGAAAAACAAGTCACAGACATGCCTTTTGACTTAAGAAATATTATAGTTTAATTAGAAAGAGGGTTAAAATTAAAGCAAGGATTAGAATTAAATAAATAGCAGTTATAATTAAAAGATAAATGTTTATTATAGAAGTAGGTATTAGTTAAATATAAGGAATAGGAAATAATTAAGTTTTAAGGTAAACTTAAAATTATATACACAATGTAGGTTCAAAATTAAATACATTTAGGATTAGAAGTAAGATTAATTTCATATATAAGTGTAGATTTAGACATGTTTTGTTTAGAAATATAAAATGTAAAATAGGTGATAAGAAAATAGCAAGTAATATAGATAAGGTAATTAGAATTAAGAAAGTTAAATTTTTTTTAAAAAAGGAGTATTAAGAATTAGTAGTGGTAAGATAAGGGTGGTTATATAAAAGAAAAAACAAGTCAATATATTGCTGCTAAAAGTATATATAAGGGTAGAATTAAGAAAATAGATTAGTAAAGGAAAAGAAATAGAATAGCGAAGGGAAGAGATTCAGTTGGCCTAGAGGTCATAGAATGTGACTGATAAATTCTTGGCAGCTGGTATTTTGTTACACCACCGGTAGCAGGAAGGAACAAAATGAAACTTGTAAAGGTCAACTTCCCCATAAACAAAAGAAAAAACATGATGTAAACATTTAATGTGTAACATGGGATACATTTTGTGGGTAGAGGGGTCAGTAAAAAAACTATATAAGCTTGTAAGAATTGAATAAAAATTGGCAGAGTCTTGAGCTCTCCCCCAGGAAGAGAATTCCTGTCATTTTCGTCTTTTCTTTTTTGCTGCTTCCCGATTCCCCCGTCTCAAGCCCTGACTCTCTCCTGGAGCTGGACTCCAGTAGACCTCCATGATGACACCTTCTCTAGTGGCCTGGAATCAGTTAGCTCATATCTGTCTGATGAACTATCTCAGGGCAGGAATTATGCTTTGTCATGTGTGATTCAATTCCCTCACTTGAAAATGGGTTTAATAATAGTATGCACTAACAGAGTTTCATGAGGATTAAGCAAGATGTATGCAAACTGCATGTAATTAGCACATGCTAATTTTTATTAAATATCAATCATTCCTATAAATTTGTTATTGTTAATATCATTATGTCTTCTTAGTAGCTACTACATAATATGAGGACAAGACATGTCAGTTACTTGGTAACCACTGCAAGGGCTGTGCATTTAATTTATCAAGTGCTCTCTTTGAGTTATAGGTGGCCTGATTGCACAGAGGAAGGCAGGAGTGCGGAGGACACAGAGGGGAGGGAGCAAAGGCACATATCACTCTATGCTTTTCTCCTGAGAAAATCATGACACAAATATTTCTGTCTAGTCTTTCTACATCTCAACTTCACCATGGTTCACATGGCCAAGTATCACTTGCTTGCACCCCAACTCTCTGGCTTCCTGTGTTATCATCCTTTTGTTTGTAGTATGTCTAGTCATGCTTGCTCTTTGCCAGTTCCTCTAATGCATCAAGCTGGTTTCTAAAGCAGGAACGCTGTATGTTCCTTCTTGTCCCTTGCCCCATTATTTCCCTTTGCAGGCCCTTTCTTGACATTCAGGTCTTAGTTTGAATATCACTACCTCAGAGAAGCATCTGTTGACATAGTTTGAATATCACTACCTCAGAGAAGCATCTGTTGACATTTCAAGCCAAAGTATTTTCTCCCTTTAACCCCCATAGCATAGCTTTCTCTATTTGTAAATCCTATTACCACATTTATCTGCCACATATTATTTATATCTACCATCTATCTATCATCTGTCAACCTACCTACCTACCTATTTATCAATCTATTCACCTCTCTTTATAATTCTTTCATGACTTCCTCTATTAGAATCTATGTATCACAAGAGTAGGGACTTCATTTGTCTCGTTTACTGATAGACCCCCAGTTCTTAGAATAGTGCCTGGCACATAGAATATGATTATTAAACACAGCTTAATGAAAGAACAACTAGACTGAAAAAATATTAATATCTATCTTTTCTTAATCATCACAATAGAAGTACTTTTATAGTTTCTTCTATGAAATTATAAATCATCAAAAGCATTGAAACTAAATTTTCTCCAATTGTAAGGGGACAAAAGACATACACAACAAAAAAATAATACTACATTCTTTAAGTGTGTGTGTGTGTGTGTGTGTGTGTGTGTGTGTAAAATACATAACTCTGACTAAATTTAAGATGCCTGGAGTTACTTCAGATCTGAACCATCTACTCTTTTTTGCTTAGTAAAGACAAACAATATTTTAAATAAAAAAGTCATTAGAATTTCAAGTTGAATCAACATCAAATAGTCTTAAATAGCATGCAATTTATAAACATTGTATGCACAATCACTACATAGTAGGTAAATTATAACTCCTTTATAGTTGACTTTTATGTGTATCAAAAATCTTTTGGATTAATTTTTCCTTATCGTGATTTGACTAGGCAAATAGCATAGCAGGCATGCATCTTTCTAACCATGCAATTGTTCTAATGTTAAATAATAAATTTAGAAAAGCAACCATTTATTGTATGCTTGCCTTTCCCAGACAATGCTTTATAGCTATTATCTGCTTCAGTGTTCACCAAACCTATGTGGAAGGTATCATTGTCATCACTTGAGAGATGGTGAAGCCCAAGTCACAACCCATGGCAAAGCTGGCATTAGAGCTCAGGTCTGCCTGACCCCAGAGTTCCATCTTTTAAAGTAACTACTATGATGCTCTGCTAGGGGCCTAAAGCATCACTCAATAAGTAATTAAAGGGGGACCATCAATGTATAGTTTAGCACAAATCTTTATTGCTTTCTCTCCTCTCTTAGTATGAGAAATAGCACACAGGCTCTTCCAGGATCTCTCACATCCATTCCTTCCTTTACCTTCTCACTGCTACCATAAGCAATGTAAGTGGTGCATAAGCCCTGAATTATCATCACAACTGTCACCTAATAATTTTCCTACAACTTACTTTTGCTTTGTGTAATTCATCCCGCAAGGCTGCATTCATGACTGTTCCCCTATACCTCCATCTACACCAGGCAATAGGAATAGTAAGATCTCTGAGTTTATTGCAGCAGGGAATGCAGTGTGGCTCGTGCTGCAGTAGAGGTGCACATACAGTTAAAATATGGCACAAAGCAGCATGTATCTTGTGACCCATTGGATATACAGATCTGGAGATCATAAAAAAGATCTCCTTGGAGACTCTCAGCATGAAGAAGGTAATGGAAGCCATGGTGATTCCCAGGGAGAATAGTCAAAGTCAGACAGTAGGGAGAATTGTGTCAAGAATCTGAATATAAGATTTAAGAGGCAAATATGGGAGAAAGGGTCACTGAAGTGTATGGAAAATAACTGTTGAGGAGGTAGGAAAACAAACAAACGAACAAACAAACAAACAAACATCAAAAACAAACCAGGAGAGGAGCCAGAAGCCAAGGAAAAGTCAAGAAGGAGAGGACTCTTAATGGCATCCAATGCTATAGCTGAAGAATGCACATGCACTACTGGATTTGGCAGATATAAGAAGGTTTGTAAAGAAATGATGATGCAATAGCCAAGAATTAAATCAAGGAAGAAATACTAGGAGATTAGGAGACAAAAGCTTGGCTTATAAAGTAAGGGGTGAGCTAGGACAATACTTGAAATGAGGTCAAGGGAATCCTTTTGTGTTTCATTTTGATTGTCTGCAGTGAAAAAGAACAATTACTTTTTCCTGTCCACCTCTCTTCTCCCTATACGCTGACACAGCAAGATTACACCAAAGAAGTGTTTACTTAATAGGTACATAGTAGAGAAAACACAGCATGTATATATGTTAAAGAGAAAAAGGATAAGAATTAATAGGGGCAAAGCAATGAAATTTGAACTTAAGAGGGAGGATGAATAATTGGTGGAGCAAAGCAAGATAGTGGGAGGGAATGGGAATGAGAGCCAAGGCAGTGAGACAGAATTAGATGACAGGAGTAACACGTCTTTTTCTATATTCTTTTATTAATGTAGGAGGAAAGAAAGAAGCAAAGAGGCATCTACAACTATTTGCA